CTGCGTTAACTGATAAAATATCAAATGGTTGACCTTTCTCAATAATAGAATGATATACTGTTTATGAAAATTTGTTAGTAGAAAACCAATCAGACGGATTCAAATTCGCTGTGTCTGCAGGTTTGCTGCGGTGGGGGTATTTGTACGTTGTACTCGTTTGAACTGTAACAATTTACCTGTCTGAATACCAATAATAATGAGGGTTTTGATTGTAAAAGTACACAAAGTACGGTACGGTGTTAAATCCGAGCAATATCATATAAATCTGTGGTAAACCACAGAACCGGAACCGTATGAATCATTAGACAATCAATAAAACCACAAACAATGACAGGATTCTGTAATATTGCTGTTGGATCAGTTATAGGACCTATTGTTTATTAGCGGTGACACTGTTTATAATAGTATTTTATGTGTAACTCACACAATAACACTAAATTTAAAGTTTTTAAGTTCAGATTAGTGGGGGGGAGGTGTGAAATAAGGATTTTTTAAATGCATATATTTTATGAAATGATACAATTCTAGCTATAATTCAGTAAAGGCAAGCTCAGTACAAATAAGTTGTATATTTGCTGCAGTTTTATTGTCATAAGAGGCTATAGACTGTACATGTTTCCATGATTGGGGAATAATATAGATTCATCTTAGCAAATTAATTCAAAATATCAATAGCTTTTCACCTTTAATGTTTCTGTAATGTTGTGTTCGAAATGTTTTTTTATCAAACCATCTCCTTGCCTAAGTAATGAACACTAAAACTTAGTTTTCTATTAAATATAAGCTCTTTTATGTTATCTTTTTACTCTCGCAGTTCATTGATATAAAGATTTTGTGCCCTTTTAAGATAGTTTTAAACTTTGGTTGAAAAAATCTTTGTTAGAAACAAATTTATTTATCACCATAAAATAAAGAAAAATTTAATTATACGTAATTATAAAATGTTTTAAGAAAATATTTTGGTTTTATTTTACAAAAGTAACCCATGACAGACGTTTTTAACATTGAAAGCTTTTTACAGATTATAGGTATTTTCCAATTCACTTGAGAGGTTTGGTCCTGTAAAAGTAGACTTGTGTAGGCTTTTCTTCAATAAGCTTACCATCTCTTTTTTCTCCCATCCTTTCGTCCTTTCGTCTTTTCTTCATTTATCTGTTTTATCATCTCCTTAATTTCTCTTCTTCATTGCTTTGCGAGTCTGTTACGACTCGATGGTAAACCTTAACAACGCAACTGCTAGGAAATGCATTCTCAACAGTTTAATTGTTATTTACTTAATTTTCATTAGTTTCCTCGTTTAGTGAATATTTTCTATCGTACGATTGATTTGTTCAGCTTAACGAACCAACCTTTTAGAAAACTCTCTCTATTGTAGTATAACACCGTACCAAAGTTTCTCTTATATTACCCTAAATAAATATTGTTAATAGCTTTGACACATTCATAATAAGTACTCTTTAAAAAACTAAATTTGTATAGATTAACTACTGTTAAGGATCATTTAATTAAAGTGTCAACCAAAAGAGTCAGATTATTACTAAGATTGATTTTCGCGGTATTTACCGGGTTAGAGTGTAGTTTAATTGACGTTGAGTTTCAACAATCAGTAAAACTAGATAACACGTTGCTCGAAATCGAGCAAAACTGAAACTTGCGGTGGGGCACACGGAAGATTTCTCAGGTGCCGTTTGACGTCACTAACTGCTGACATCACTACTAACTGCTGCGTCTGAAGAAACGGACAATTTTATAAATTTTCTATTATTAAATTAAACTGTCATAACCTAACCAAACTAACCAAACGTGCTGATCATGAAAAAATCGAATGAAGGTTTACTAATCTAAAAAATAGTTTTGTTCATAAAATAAAATTATAAATGCCTAAAATTCAATTTTATAATTTTTTAATTATAAAATTAAACTGTCATAACCTAATCAAACCAACCAAACTTGCTGATATGACAGAAAATTGTTGACAAACAGATAAGGCTACCAGCGGGATTCGAACCCGTACGTTCGGATTATCAGCCCGACACGCTATCCTCTACACCACCGAGGCCGATGGTTCAATACCGTATCGATGCGGTATTGGTGTTCCCTCAAAGTGACGTCAGCAGTTAATGACGTCAAACAGCACCTGAGAAATCTTCCGTGTGCCGTTTTGCTGAACCTTGTATGTAAAAAATAAACAAAAAACATAAACAGCAAATCCTTTATTAAAGAGTCGCTCAAAAATAATTTATATGACTGATAATAAAAAAAATATATATATTATGATGTAAAAAATATAAAAGTAATCTACAATATATTTAAATTTACATTCACTCTCATACTGCTTTGGTTACAGTATCTCTTATATAGTAGGCGGGTGCTCTCTATGAACATGTAGATGTCAACCACACTGTAAAATGAGCTTTTGACCTAATGTAGCTCAATTCCTCTCTTGACGCCAACCATCGCTATTTATTCTAGCATTGTTAAATTATTTCTTTGATGTGTTCTGTTTTAGGCGTGTTTAAATTAGGGTCCCCAACCCAAGTCTCCAGTTGGGAACATAAGAGGGTAAGCATATGTGGATCTAACGACAGATCTAGAACGGATACGCGTTTAACATTATTAATGTTGGAAAAAACTATACAATTGCTTTGTTTTCAGCTTTACAAATTGTAGCGAGGGAAGACACTTCTTCTTTCTCCTATTATGTACATAAGAACTTCACTTGACTCCTCGGAGCTCTCTTCCCTACATAATGTCTGCCACAGTCTTCAAAGATTTGAAATTTGGTTGGCATTGTGACCCTATTTCCCGCATATTTTTTCATTGCATTTTGAATTGTGCTTAATTCTCTTTTGGGTTCTAGTTCATTGTTGTACTTACTTATATATCTGTATAATTTCTGGATATAAGTCTCACAGTCCTATTTTTAGATTGGGAGTTTCCAATAAGAACCTGAAGGTATTGTGAATTGCACAAATGAGGTAAACGAACCTTTCATTTATGACAACAAAGAGTAAAAACTTAACCGTATCGGCCAGTCTTTTCTCGCTTAAAAATGTGTAAGCTACTACAATGTAAACATTTAACGTTCATCTGTCCGAGATTGGACTATCACAACGGTGGTACTACCACTATGTACCCTTCAAATGTTCAATTGAGAGGTTGGTACAAGCGGTCATGTTCGCGTTTCCCTCCAGCCACTCACAGTTCTTCGTCGTACTGGCGGCATTTGATTTTAAATTGAAATGAAATAAGGAAGTTAACCAAACAACAGAAAATACATTAAAGGAATTGGAATTTTGATATATATTAATTACATGACAATATGGTAATGTAATTACGGATAACTGCCCTGCGAATCATCACTTGTAAACATTCACTTCATCACATCGAACTGTAACATGATAATCAGTAAAATACGATATAAGGTAAATCAATTTAACTATACTCAAAAAGAATAAACTATTTATTTTAAATTTTTATTCTTAAACTCTTCATTACGAACCAGAACCAGACTTAGTTACAGATTGAAACAAAATATAAATTCCAGCTTTGCTCTGGAAGTTTTAAGTCCTGCAGTCTGTGGTTAACCTTAAAAACTATTTCAAACTACGTCCATATGTTATTTGTAAACAAAAGGAAATGAGTTTGATCAAATGTCAACAGATAGCGCCGCCTTCCAATCTTTAGCCCTTTTGTGTACTTAAGTGGTGCCCTTTGAGACGTATTTGCACATCTACGTGGAAATACCTTTAATTTGACACCTCAAACGTTAAAATCCGTCAAGCCGTTATCGAGTTATGACTGTGAAAAGAAAACTGCTTGCGTATTTATATATAGATAAGTGTAATATATTGGAATCAGCTGATAATTTGGTTTTATGTTTATTATGAAAATGTAAACAAATAATGTTATATTTTGTTCTATGATTAAATGAGTTTAAGTTAGTTCTTGATTTTATTTCACTGGCGACGATGAGTAAAAAACGAACCCAAAGATGTGAAGATATTGGTTGGAACAATAAAGAAGAGGTGCGAAAGAGAATGGAAAAGTTTTCAATAGAACCCTATGATGAAAAATTGAACTGGGAGGATTATGAAGCTCACTTCCAATTGATGTGCAAGGTAAAGGGATTGGGTGATGACAGTGATGAAACTGAGGAGGCCAGAAGGGATCTTCTTCTAGCATATGTTGGACCTGTACCCCTCAAAAAGGTATCTAATTTCGTTTTACCTAGGCAAATTTATGACATACCAATGACTGAACTGCTTGATACATTTCGGTGTGTTTATAAACCTAGTAAAACAATCTTTGCAGCGAGACTAGACTTTGAAAAATGTGTGAGAGGAAATGATGAGAGTTTTTCAAATTTCGTCTTACGTTTAAAAGAGTTAGCCTCCTACTGTAAATACGACAGGTATTTTGAGGAAAGAGTAAGGGATAGATTTGCTGGTGGCGTTAACTTTCCACAGTTTGAAGTTGAAATCAGGCAAAGGTGGCCAGAAGGCATAAATAAAGATGGTTCACGTTTAACTTTAAATGAGTTGGTAGATTTAGCTGAAGCGATGGATAGAGCTAAGCGGGAAATGAATATTTTAGATGAAGCTATGCCTGTAATTAACAAGGTACATAGCTATGATAAGAAAAATAGATATTCGGCAAAAGAAACCTACAGCCATTCTACAGAAGATTGTAATCAGTGTGGACTAGTACACAGTGGAGAATTTTGTCCAGCTCAAAAGTCTAAGTGTTTTTCATGTGGAAGGCAAGGTCATTTCTCACGACAATGTGGAACCAAAAAGACAAAACAATGTCACTTCTGTGGGAAAATGGGTCATTTTCCGCGACATTGTCGTTCAAAAAAGGCCTATTTGAACCAAATCAACGACACAGACATAAAATCTGAGGAAGAAGAGGTACAGTTAGGAATTTCTGAACTTAAACCTAATAGGAAGATCCCAAGAGCACAAATTAATGTTACCCTAAATGAAGTACCAACAACCATGGAGTTTGATTCAGGAGCTAGAGCATCGATGATTGATGCACCCCTGTGGAAACAAATAGGATCACCAAATTTGAGGGCATGTAAAACAAAATTTGTCGCTTATGGAAACAATACCCTGGATGTTTTAGGAGAGTGTGAAGTTAATGTTAAAGTTGATGGACAGATTAGGAAACTTAAGGCTGCTGTGGTAAATGGAAACGAATCTCCTTTGTTTGGATTACCATGGATGCTTGCCTTCAACATGAAATTACCACCTAGTGTTACGATTCGTAAGTTGGATAACACCAATAAAGATGAAAATGCTTCTACAGTAACCGAAGAGGAAATTAACCAAGTTATTTCTGAGTTTAGTGATGTATTTAAGAAAGAATTGGGAACCATTAAAGGATATCAGGCGAAGATACATGTTAAGAGTGACTCAGAGCCTAGGTGTTTTCCTGCTCGCAGAGTGCCTTTTCCACTAAGAAGTAGAATTGAGCAAGAACTAAACAGACTGGTAAGTGACGGTGTTATAGAAAAGGTAGACCCTTCCAAAACTCCTATCGAATGGGCAACACCAACAGTAAATGTTGAGAAGGAAAATGGCACAATTAGAATATGTGGAGATTTTCGGGTAACCTTAAACCCAAACATTGTTACCCATACAACACTTTTGCCAACTTTTGAGGAACTGACGAATAAAGTATCTCGAGGGAAGCAATATTCAGTTGTTGACTTGAGAGATGCATATCTCCAAATGGAAGTATCAGAGGAAGACAGAAAATATCTGGTAATATCCACGCACGTTGGATACTATAGATACAAGAGACTACCATTTGGTATAACCTCCAGCCCAGGTATCTTTCAGGAATACATGGAGAAGCTCCTTGAAGGCATACCACAAGTGGGGGTACTTCTAGATGATGTAATCATTACGGGCCGAAACAAAGAAGAACACCTCATGAACTTAAAGGAAGTATTAAAACGAATGAGTAACGCAGGGCTAAAAGCGAAGAAAGAAAAATGTAGATTCATGCAGAATTCAGTCACCTATCTTGGACACATTATCGATGAACAGGGTATCCATCCAACAAAAGAGAAGATCGAAGCAATACAAAAGGCACCTAAACCTACAAATGTCAAACAGCTTAGGTCTTTTTTAGGATCCATAAACTATTATGAAAGGTTTATCCCTAGGTTGCATGCGCTGTGCTCAAGGTTACATCGACTTACTAGCAACAGATCAAAATGGATCTGGACAGAGAAAGAAGATGAAGTATTTACAAAGGTCAAAATGATTCTTTCGGAAGAAGACACAGTTGTTCCATATGATGAATCCAAACCTCTAGTGTTGGTGTGTGATGCGTCCGAAGACGGTCTTGGGAGTGTCTTAATGCACAAGTGTGAAGATGGTCTGGAAAAACCAATCGCGTATGCTAGCAGAACTCTTTCAGATGCTGAGAAAAGATACTCGAATATTGATCGAGAAGCACTTGCAATTTTATTTGCTGTAAGAAAGTTTCACCAATATGTATATGGACGAAGCTTCACACTTGTCACCGATCATAAACCCCTTCAAAGAATATTTGGAGAAAACCGGAATCTTCCAAAGGTAATGAACAATAGGTTAGTGAGATGGGCCCTAGAACTGAATCAGTACAATTTTCAAATCAAGTACAGGAAAGGAGATGAAAACGTTTGTGCTGATGCACTATCCCGTCTTCCCATGAGAATCAGAGAAGAATCTACCGATGTAAGAGACATAAAGTTTTTAAACATGGATAAAGTTGAGACATTGGTGTCCTATAAGGAACTCAAACATAACAGCAGTTTGGACAAGGAGATAAAATTAGTACAAAGTTATGTGCTAAATTCATGGCCAGAGAAGGTACCAGATAACATTAAAACATTTAAACAAAGGAAAGAAGAATTATCAGTTGAAGATGGTGTTTTGATGTGGTTTGGTAGAGTTGTTGTGCCAACAAATATGAGAAAAAAAATCTTGAGAATTTTGCACTGTGGCCATCCTGGAATTTCAGCTATGAGATCAATTACCAGATACTATGTATGGTGGCCTAACATTGACAAAGACGTTGAAATGCATGTTAAGACTTGTGAAGCATGTCAAGAAAACAGAGGAAACATTGAAGAAGTCCCGGTCTATCCATGGAACATTCCTGAAAAAGTGTGGGAAAGAGTTCATTTGGATTTAGCTGGACCAGTTGATGGAGTAATGTGGTTAGTAGGGATTGACGCGCTATCTAAGTGGGCAGAAGTTGAATGTTTAAGAACAACGACTTCAACTGCCATAATTCAAAGATTAAGATCGTGGATGAGCAGGTATGGGATACCATCACAAGTAGTAACTGACAACGGGCCACAGTTTGTCTCTACTGAAATGGAAGCATTTTTCAAGAGACATTCAATTCGACATATAAGAACTACTCCTTATCATCCTAGAAGTAATGGCTTAGTCGAACGTCTAATAGGGACTTTGAAAAGGCGTTACAGAACAACAAAACAAGAAATTAATGATTCTTCATTGGCATTGCAAAATGTGTTGTTCAGTTACAGAAATGCCCCACAAAAAACAACAGGACGAGCCCCTGCAGAGTTGTTTCTAGGTCGAAGAATGCCAACTATGTTGGACAACATGAAACCAAACCTTAGACAACAATTAGATCTGAAAATTTGGAAGGAACAACAAAACCCAACTCAAAAGAAAACCTTAAGAGCATTCAGTGAAGGGGAAGAAGTATGGATGAAAAAAGAGAATAACCCTGGTTGGATAGCAGGAACAATAGTCAAACGCAATGGCTTATACTCTTATGAAGTCATGTGTGGTGGAGTGATAAAAAGAAAACATTCGGATCAACTGCGAAGAAGAGAAGGTGCGGTAGACGATGAGGAGGGAAAAGTGTAATATATTGGAATCAGCTGATAATTTGGTTTTATGTTTATTATGAAAATGTAAACAAATAATGTTATATTTTGTTCTATGATTAAATGAGTTTAAGTTAGTTCTTGATTTTATTTCAATAAGTATACCTTGATTAGGGTCCAAGCGGTGTTATCATAAGCACTTTATCAATAATTCTTTTCCATAGAGAAACAATCAATAAAATTACCCAGAACAAACCTGCGCATATAACAAAGGTCAGTTTCATTGTCATCTACGAACATCGTGTTGTACCTATAAAATCCATATTTGTATATTTTAGTTTATTTTATAAGTAAAAGTTAATGTATTTTATACTATTAGATTGTTTTTTACACATATCTAGTCTTTTCGATGGGCCTCCTGCACGAATTGCGCATGTCAGTGGTTTAAAAGCCGTTTCCAAGGAACAACTAATAACATTTAGCTTTTTACCTGTTACAGATCACTTCGTAAAAAAATAACGTTCAAGTAAACCATGATCACATAAAATAATGTATGTCTGTTTAAGATTGTTAGATCATTAATCTTATATATTACAACATGTAAAATATATCAATAAAGATCTATGCCATAAAGTGATTTACCCACTTCATTTTAGTTAAAATTATCAATAAAACCAGCGCCGTTTTAATCTATTATCATAAACTATGTCTTCTTTTTTGACTCGCTGAAGTGGTTAATTGAACATTTATTCTAACTGATTGTAGGTAAATCATAATTCGCATTTAAACCAATTTTAAAGACTGTTTGCCAGCAGCACTGGACTTATGAAACATCGTTCAAAAATAAATTGAAGGCTAGGGTTACAAAACTATAGAGGATATTACCTCTTTACTTAACATTTGTTCATGCTCTAGATCATAAGCTATAACATATGTTTCGGAGACGGGTGCAACGGGGTGTTACAGAGAAAACACATATTATACTAAGTATACAGATGCCGTGTTGAAACTTAAATCGAATAACAGACGTTAAGAATCGTTTGGCGCTTCAACACCTTCATGTTCAACATTGTTGTAAGGAAACACTAAACAATCCCCACTCTGTTCTTTGTCTATAACTGACCCCAATTATCCTTATCCATACAACTTCGCTATGTTAAATACATGGCAGGGATGTCGTGGGTTCAGTTCATAAATCATGTCACTAAATGTTATCAGTTCAGTTGCGTTCACTTCTTATACTACAGGGCTTATACTTACACTTAACTGTGTCAGGTCACCCCTTGATTCAGTACACCTTTTCCAATCAAAACCTTAATCAATGTTTTTTTTACTAATATCAAGTTTTAGACGTACTATTTAACGGAATTAAAAAAAAAACAAAAATACTCCCATTCTTCTCTATTGGCAGTATTCGCCGAGGGATTTCTTCTCATTGTCTAACACTCTTAAGAGTAAAACTATTGTGAAAGCGGCATTCTAAAGTATTTTTCCAGAGTTTTTACCGTTTTTTGGGAAGCTGCAGCCAAACATTTTTAATCTGTTCCCATCCCATTGATTAAAAATAATACCATTAAAAGATAAACAAATTGTTGGTATTGGCCGGCATATTTACTCTTAAAGATGAAGGGAGAAAAAACGTGGCTGGAAATAAAATATTATTTAAAAATTTACACGATTTAGTATTGCAGGTTAAAATATTTTGTATCATAGTTTAGGGTTATATGCATGAAGGATAAACAAACTGCTGGCCACGAACCCATGAAACGTGAGTTTAAATTACATAGTAAAAGCAATTAATTAGATAAGTAGTTAAAATTAACCGCCCCAAAAATGGACAAATGAAATTGAATTTAATGAAATTCAACATAAATAAGTTTCAATCACAAATACAATTATCAGCAAAATAAATACAAGATCTTTTGTTTCAAAAGAAAATCAATTCCTACATAGAAATACAAAATAATAATTTACTTAAATCATGTTAATATTTGTGTGTGATATTGATACCTGGCGCTTTTTTAATTCCCTTAAGTTCTTTTATGGTTTGGGTTAAAAAAATAACACAGTTCTACTAATTATGTACTACTACTTACACAGTTACTTTAAACGATTAATTTGAAGTAGAGGTCGTCCAGTGAAAAATATGTAGTGTACATACATTATTTCCACCCCACGCTGTAAATAAAACATGTGATTGGAGTTTCTTCTATTTGTTTTGATTTTCTGTTTATATTTCGTTGTTATTTCGTCACCAGCATGGCAACCTATAAGACCGTTTTTATTTTTTTGTAAATTTAAAATTCATTTTTTATGCTTACTTTGTAGCCTATTTTAATTTATGAAAGGATTCTGCACACCTACAGGCAAATATCTTGCCAACAGTATGCATCCTTGCGATGCACACGATATGAAAAAAAGGTTTTAAAGAAACATGCTTGCCTAATGCATATTAATATAGATAATTTGGCCATCCGGTCGATTCACACATATCAGTTCAGTCACGGTTCCGTTACAGTCCAGTTACAGTTCAGTCTCAGTTGCATCCGCAATTTCTCAGTCAACTGTCCGTCAGTTGGTTTCAGTCAGTCTTCCGTATCTAATATTTACAGCAATTTACAGTCAAAATTTTAAATTATAAACCTACTAGCAACAGTGCCCGTTGTGGTTAAATACAACGGTCTCTGGTAAAATAATGGTTATGAAATCCATACACCACTTTACTCACTAATATTGATGGTACAGATTAAGCAAATAACATTAGAATCACACACTTAACATAAGGGGAACCCACTTGAAACACAAATGCAAATTGTTAACAACAACATTTAATCAAAGAAAAATCAATTAGATAACAATATAACAATAAGCTGTTGAATTATTAACACATGTTTCGTATGATTAGATTATGCATACTGGTAAACCAATTATTGTCATCTATAAAAATTATTGATTTTTCTTTTTCGAGTAGGGTTAGCTCTTCTACCCGACCGATTTTCTTAATTTTGGCCTTAAACTAAAGGTATGGACGTACCACAGATTCCACCAAGCATCGGCATTCATTTTGACGTATATTTCGAGTCATGAACAAACTGCCTCCCTGTACATTTCTTATGGGAGTTAATTTTTTTTAGATCGTTTGGCTCTTCTACCCACCGGATTTTCATAATTTTGGTTTTAAAATAAAGCTACGCAAGCACATATTTGTCATCATGCATCATTATTAATTTATCTAATATATTACTCGACGAAAGAATTTAAATTTGATTTTTTTTTACTTCAATTAAAGATGTATTCCAGCAGTTCTAATTACATTACCCTATATTATGTTTTGGTCTAAAAACCTTACTGAAATGCCAGCTTTCATTTGAGCTATTGATTATTAAGATCAGACTACCTAAAGCACACTGCTGAATCACGAATCAACAATAATTACAATCGTTTTAGTACTTATCTGCAATCAATGATACGTAACTCTATTTTTATTTAAGTTATTTTTTATTTCTTGGTCTTAAAACACTTCAAAGGCTTTTACTTGAGATATTGATAGTTTAATCAGTTAAGTTCAAGATACTGTATCGCTCAATCAGAAAATATAAATTTGATTATATCTGGGATATGGAATTTAGTTTTAGATATATTTACTTAATTATAATTACGTTATTCTATTTGTTTTGACCTAAGAACCTTCAGTGAAATACCAGCTTCCATTTGATTTATTGATTATTAAGATCGGACGTACCTAAAGCGCACAGCTAAATCACGAACAAGACAAATTGTTCAAAAAATGGAGTTATGTATCATCGATATAAAGTCAACACGATATTACTGGCAGCCTCAACAGTAACTGTCGACTTTGACGGGTATCACCTAGTAAATCTTTAAAATATCAAACTTTTATAATTATTTGCAAATCTACACAAATTAGGCTTTCCAATTACCTATTAATTGATAAAATCGGTTCAGTAGAACTGTAGATTTAATTGTACAGAGTTTAAAAACAACGTCTTTAATTCAGTATTTACTCACCACCATAAATTTGGAGGTTGCTTAACGTTTTTGCAAATAACTTTGAGGAAATCGACCAAAGTGGGAGGTGATATTCTGAAATAGAATAAAATTTCCTACAAATTACTATTATGTATTTCTGGAAAATACTCAATAAAGACAGCCTAAAGTTGGCTACAAATATAAACTTGGAAATATAAACTTCCCTAACTCAGTATTTTCTCACCACTATAAATTTGGAGATCACTTAGATTATTGCCAATAACTTTTAAATGGAGGGGAAATCAACCAAAGTGGATGTGATATTCTGAAAGAGAATAACAAATAACTACTAAGCATTTCTTGAGATTGCTTAATAAAGGCAGCCAAAAGCTGGCTACAAATAGAAACTTGAAAACAGAAACTTGAAAAAAGCAGTTTTTAATGTATTTTTGTTATGTTTACTTTTTTACCACAAAGATTTAATAATATACCCCCGCCGCAGCAAACCTGCCGTCTAAGCGAATTTCCATTTGGCCGAATTGATTTTCAATTGATCTATTTAAATAACATTAGGTTTAACGAGTACCTAGGTTTGCTGCTACAAGGAAACTAATAAAGTAGTGTGTTTTTAGTAAAATATTGATAGCTTTCTATAAAATAAATAAATTTGCCAAGTTTGATCAAAATATATCCATAAACAAGCAAACTACAACATTTTACAATATTCTCCATAAGAATAACATGGGAATTTTAAATTTACCATTTTTTTAGTTTTCTCCGTAACCAATAACCGTACAAAAACACTTTGATATACTGAATTGTTTGTTTTTTTAAGCTCTTTAAGAAGGTTTAGAGAAAAATTGGGAAATTTTGTGTTTTGAGGGTAAAAAGTGAGAAAAACCAATTTTTACCCCATAAAACCCTGTTCCCATGGTCCGATCATGCTGGATCGCGAACTCATTCAAGTTTATCCCGCCTTACACCTTCAAACCAAATTTCATCAAAATCGGATAAAAATTACTCAAGTTACGAAAAGGGTACTTTGTTATA